AATCTACATTTTAATTTTATGCTTTTGTTATATCTAAATTTAATTTCTATATTTTTAATAATTTTTATTTTTTTGAACTTTTAAGTAGAGTATAAGGTAGATATGATTTAATCTTATATCTATATTTTTCGTGCATTTTTGTCAACTTTCATCTTTTCTGTTGTAAATTTCTCGGTTTTTAAATTCTTCAAAGATAGAATTTCTATACCTAATTACAAATATACACAAAATATGTGTCAGTATAAAAAAAATATAAAAAACAATTAAGAAACGAGTTCGGTTTTTCAATCAAAGTAACTTTTACAATAATGTTATTATTCATTATACAGTATGTTCCTGGATTGAGTTTACAAGAGAAAAAAAAATATCCTCGATTTTAAGCCAGAACTGCAAAAGAAAACCATTTTTTACTTTACCTGAAACGAGCAAATCTGTAATTAAAACTTCATTATTCTGATTTAGTGAAAAGAAATGTTAATTTTTCTCTTTATTTTAGACTTAGAATAATTAAAGAGTGGAAGTTGCAAAGGAGCTAAGTACCAAATTTTCACTTCTCGAGATATTAACTTGACGATAGTGGTATGTGCCATGCTGCTTGTCCCTTCAAAAACGCCATGTGCTTTCTCAGTTTTTAAGCCTGTCATTTTCATTAAAAGATGAGGCTATCAGTATATTCACCAAGTGAATTTGAAGAAGTTTTTATTAAATAACTCAAAAACAGCATTTTGACATTTAGCTCCTTTGTTTGTAACTTCCTCTCTTCACTTTTTCTATGATTTTTAAGTCTAAAATCAAAAAAAAAACTTTTATTTCTACTGAGTTAGAATAATGAAGTTCTAAATACAGATTTGCTCGTTTCAGGTAAAGCAAAAAATGTTACCTAATCCTTTGCAGTTTTGGCGTAAAATCAAAGATTTTTTTTCCTCTTGTAAACCCAATTCAGAGACATACTGTATTTCCAATTCTCAGCTGAATCCATTTGCCTCACTCCGTTCGGCAAAATGAACGTTCAGCTTCGCCACATAAACAATCACTTTTACTCCTAATAAGATAATCTACAATTAATATAAAATTAGTTACTCGTTTTAAATATTCTAAATACATGAATTATAAAAATAGTAATTATTTTGACAAGTTTTCCATAATTAACTCAAAGTTAATAAAATAGTTTTTTAACATATTTCTTACAAATGAAACATGGTTTTGAACAACAACTGTTAAAATATAAACTCAAGAAATGCCCTCAGAATCGAGTTAAACGACATCTATTTAAAAACCATTTTTTTTATTATGTTTTGATTACTAGAAAAATTTAAGAAAAACGTGTTAAGGAAAATAAAACTAAAGCTAAACTAAAAATTCAAGAACCTACAAGACAAGACTATAAGAGTTATAATAATATATTGCTTGTCTCGAAAACCAACACTCTTGTAAATCAATACAAAAAATGTAATTTTATACCTTATAGTAACCGTTTTTTAACAGGTCTTGTAAGCTTTCTATTTATAAAGTTTTGTTTTTTTGAAAATTTTGCTTGCAAGAGTTTGCAGTTGCATTCTGTGGAATGCACTAATCTTTTGCCCATATTGAATTTCTCCACCCATCATCAGTCGACCCCATCGCCCGGCCGTCCAACCTCCGATCCCTAAAGTCGCATGCAATTAAAAAACAATTGGTTATTGCTGATGGTAGATTCGAGCGTACGCTTGGTAATTATTGCTTTTGGTTAAAACAAACACGAACGGAGGTAACACGCCGGTTTCATAACATAATGAGTGTGATGGGTCCCTATCGGGCCAAGTCGTGCGGCTGGCCGGGTCGTGAGAGTGATAGCTGTCAGAAGAGAGAGCCGCCGGCGCTCCACCGAAGGGAGGTGAGGGACCTCACGAGGGCTCTCCGTTGGAGGGTCGTGACCTGGACTATCGCGGACGACCTGTGTGGCACGCGAGCTATACCAACAAACCACCACCCGCCCAGAGATGGTAAAAAATATCAATACCACTACCAAAATTCAACTCTTGTTGTCCTTTTGCTATACAGGGTGTTTGTGGATTGCGAGCAAATATTTTAACCACTAAGAGAATTTGTTATGAAAAGTCGAATTGAAGACCAAACAAATTCCGTATGCAAATTTTATTTTTGCAATTTCCCCCCTATGATTTTCACGAGCCGTTCAGTGTGTCTGTCCTTGTTAGTTGGAATTAAAAATATCAATGAAAATAAATTGCATTGAATGTTGACCGTGAAAGTTTTTGTACAGAAAAAAGGAAACTTTTTGTCCAAAAAAATTATCACTTGTTTCCACGTGTCGTTAGTCGTTAATGCGCTTTCGAGTGAATTGTGCACATCGATTTGAAATTAAATTGTCAATCAAGTCATTATGGCCAACTACTCAAACGCCAAATTAACTAGTGTACGGACATTACTTCCAAGACCGATTTTCACTAAATGTTTGGGCAGAAATCATTGAAGATCACCAAATTGGACCCCACATATTACCTCAACGTTTAACTAGTGCCGTTTATCTGGATTTTTTGGAGGTTCACATGAAACAATTTGTGAATTAGTGTACGCAGCTCAAATTTATACCTTCGAAGGGCTGTGTGTGCGAACGCAGGCTTCCCTAGCCCGAAGAGTACAAGAAGTGTGCATTGCCAACGAATGATCACATTTCGAGCAATTTTTTATAAAAGCAAGTATTGACCCACTAACATTGACACTGATCTACCCTAATGTAGCGATAATTTTTTTGTCTTTACGCTGTTTACGTTCCAAAATTGTTTCTTATGAATGATTGTAAACATCGTATTAAGACATAGGCGGGGACGGGTTTTCAGCCTCATTTTATTTTTAATTTTAACTCAGAAATGACGTGCTTTCGACAAAAGTTGGAATAATGAAAGTTGTTTCTTTTAAAGAGTCCTATTAGTGGTTAAAATATTTACTCGCAATCCTCAAACACCCTGTATACTTTTTAAGAGGAAGTACTAAATCAGCAGTTTGTCACAAAATATAATCTATAACCACTTTTTATCCAAAAACGTCGGTGCTTCCTTGTGTTGTTATAAGCAAATATTGTTTTTTTGATGTTTTTATCCTTAACTTTATTTTAATGCATATAGCGCTTTCTCAAAAAATCTACCTTGCTCTCGATTTTGGCTTTGAACTCGTTTCGGTCCGCTCTCCCGAAATTCGTCGTGATTGCGCCATGCACCTTCACCGAAGAAAGTGAATGAACCATTCCATAACAGCTTTGACAGCGGACGGGCTCCACAGGTTTGTCCGGCTTTTAAAAAATGTATCAACAGGTGCCCCCATAACTTTCGACTGCGATCTCGCTGACACCATAAATATATGCATCGGTGTCATGATTGTCGGCCACTTAATAACTCTCGTAAACAAACCAAGGAATGAAAAAGAAGAAACTGTGGTGAATCTTGGCTTGGAACACGAAACTAGAGCGAACGAGAACTTATTGTGGAAGAAAACGTGTGTTGGAGGTTTGTTTGGGTTAGATGAGATGATTGATTTGACGTTATCAGGGGTGACCTTGATCTTTAATTCTTGGAGTTAAACAATTCAGAAAGAAAAGTGGAGATTGGCTGGAAAAAGGATGCATGCGAAGTGTCTGCACTTGTTGATAGTAACAACAGAGATAAAAATAAAGGAAAACAAATAAATAATTTGTGGAATGTGGTCTAGATTAAGCTGAGCAATTGGACCAAAAAATAAGATTACAACATCAAATTTTATAAACTTATCTT